ACAGTACACTCTGATTTCTTAGATTTTAGCTCAGTAATCAGGTTTTACAGCGCATGAAAACACTTACTCTGATTTCTTTCATTTTTCTCAGTCTGTGCATGTGTGCTGTCCCAGAAACAGCCAGCAACATTTAAAACAGCACCTGCGAGACTGCAGCAAAATGATGCTGAAACTTGATGAAATTAAAAATTTGAATATTCTTTATCTTCTAGATGATGTATGTTCACGTTTCGCTAAAGTGACTGGATGTTTAAAAGAAATCCACACACACGTTTGAGTTTTACGCTACGTTGACATCACATCTTCTTCTGTGAATTTACTGGCCGGTTGCAAAGCAGAAATCTGATTACTGTCTGACTTAGGTAGACCCAGAGTTTTCCCATTATCTGATTACCTAGGTTCATGCAAACGTGTTGAATGGATTACTGACAAAATCTGATTTTCTGCAGTTACCAGATTATTAAGTGCATTTAAATGCACTCAGGGGAATGCCAACAATCTTCCAGCGAAAGGGGAGAATGGACTACTTTCTGAAGAATAATGGCCTCATAAAATGTCTTAAAAAGAGCAGAGAGTTTATGTTTCCTCACGTAACACAGTCACATTGCTGAAACACAAAATGCAGCATGAGCATTCATTGTGAACAATCTATCACTACCATCTGGTGAGAGTTGAGGATCAAGAGTGCAAAACATGGCATTATAAAGATATAAAGAGAGAAAGAGAAACCTGGAGGCTGCCAAATGTCAGGCGATTATATGAATAGGATTTCTGAGATTTTGATATTACATTGTTTTAAATGATCAAAGAGTTTTTAATAATTCATATCAAAATTATATAATGAAACTACTGGTATATAAAATATTTTTAAAAAATAAATAAATAAATATAATGACAACAATGAACAATTTCTACAGTAAAATATTTAGGAAAGATGAGGACAACCAGTTAAACAAAGTGAACTCTTATTTTGGCAGAACATCCAGTAAGCTAGCACTGCATGACTGAACAAAACCCGGGTGATATCGTAAAATATTTAAACACTCTGAATGACTCTTTACATCTCAAAGATTGAGTTATTCAGAAATTTTCAAAAATTGGTTGAATTCCCCTTTAAAAGACAGAGCAGGAGCTGTGGTAGTAGCTAGTTTCATTATGTGCTTCTAGTCTAGCTAAATAAAGTAACTCTTGCAAAAAAAACTCCCATATTAACAGGAGTAACCTGTATTTTATGAGCTAACTAAACCACTCGTATAATAAAAAATAAAAATGATAACTATGACCGCCAGTAATATGGAACTATGCTAGGATAACTGGCCGAGTTAACGTTAGCTTAATGCTATTTTTGAGCTGAAGCTGGGAGTCAAAATGAGTGGTTAATGTGTAATACACGCCATGATTATGTTAATAATAATAAGAAGAAGGGGATAATATTTCTAAAAAATAGGAACAGAAAGAAAACAGATTATATTCCTCACCTGTAGCAGCTCTTAGTGCTGGTTGGACCGTTGATCTCGCGCTCTCCCGGAGAGGTTCCGTTGAAATTTGAATGTGTGACTGTGCGCGCGGGCTGCTGCACTGGCGCGCTGGTCAAAGCTCTGACTCAGTTAAATGAATTCGAATCAGTGACAGTGTTTTCACATATAGTTCGTTTTAAAAGAACCGAACCGAGTTCTGTTTAAGTGAACCTGGAAGGGAATAAACTGCAAGTGACCTCAGTTCTTTTTGTGTTCACAATATAAGTGAACTCTAAACAGGACTCAGTTTTCTTTCTGGTCCTTTGAGATCTCAGACCGCTTCTTGTTCAGCACATATCTAACAACCATAACTAACATCATAGGCGTCCACATTGTCGACCGACTGATGGCTCTCCTTCGAAAAGTTGCAGTATTTATGTGGTCGCTAGATGTCACTGTCGGTCTTTTAAACAGATGTGTTCACTTTCTTACTGCAGCTGCTCACATGAAGCAGTCTGTTTTTGTAGAACATGTAGCTTATATATATACATGTATATATATAGTATGTATTTTGTATGATTACATGTATTCTGTTCTTTATTGTATGGAGCCCCTTTAAGTTCCATTATAGAAAAAATTGCAACAGCATTGCATTACCTGGAAAAAGTTTTTGCGTTCCCATGCAAAATCCACCGCATTTGCAAAGGAATGCAATATCATTGTGAGAGAATGCAAAATGTTTGCAGTGGAACACAAAACTTTTGCAAGGGAACACAATGTCATTACTTTTATTTATTTATTTTTTAACCTCTTAAAATCCCAGGCTTATTACATACTAAGGCTTATTCTTGATTAACTACAGGACTTCAATACAAAGTGGCTGAGCTATTCTCAGGTTATAGAAGTGTGTGGGCCCATGGCCATTTAAGGGGTTAAACCACGGGCCCACAGGGGCTCCATATTATCAAGTTGGAAATGAATGTTGGAAAACATTTTGCTGCTGCATTAGTGGTGTATTAGCTTCTAAAAGCATCATTCATTTGCCTGTGGAAGCCAATGGGAAGTAGTTTTAGAGTAGTTTACGTACTTTAGAAGCACAGATTTCAAAATACGTTGTTTTAAAAAATGTATTGTAGTGTCAATGCAGAAGACACGGAAAATGCTCTTTATTAGAAAAAACAGTGGGGGAACTAAGCTCACAAGTGAAATGAGGGACAGGTCATCGAAAGGCCAACTTAACATGGTGAGGGTAAACCACTTGGTACACTTGGCCATGGCAAGCCAGAAGGGCCTGGGTTCAATTCACCGGCCACGTACCTCAAACAAGTGCTTGGGACCCCTTGTCAAAGAATGTGGATCATAGTTGTGTAGCTTTTATTAATGGATGAGGCATCGCTGATGGTGACATAGGGCTTGAACCTTCCTCTGTAAAGCATCGAAACTGTGTATGTTATCTTCTGTCCATGTTTCTGGAAAAAAAGGTGTATGGGCCCTTTAATTAACCTCTGAAGGAATTATTTGCATCCTATAATTAGTAACACAACATACAAACAGAAACAGAACAGGTGCAGTTTTCCCTCTGTTTGCAGCTGGACCGGCAGAAGAAACATCAGTCTGCATGTGGCCTTAGACCACCAGCAGGTGGCATTCAAAGTTTTAAAATTAGTCAGAATCAGTCTGGAGTTTCTAGGCAAGAGAACCAAAAGTCAGAAGTGGGTTCTAACCATAGACTGTACAGTCACTGATTGGTCCTAACATTTACACAGTTCATGCCTTCAACTAGAATTTCTGATAAATTTGCATATAAAAATCACCTGCGCTCAGTTATGTTTGTGAGGAAATAACTTTTTCCCAGTGCCATTTTCGGCCTTCACGTTTGGTTTTTAATTTCTTTCTTGGGTTTAAATTCACTCTTACCTGTTTGTTCAGGAACAGCCAAATGAACATGCTAATCTGAATCGTTTTCTTGTCAATAAATAACATTTTTTGTCCTCCTGAGTTTCAGTTGCTCATTGTGCTTTAACACTGAGAAGTGCTGAGCCATAATATGGAATATTTCAGACTAAACTGGCTGCTAAAGTTAAAGAAAATTTAAATTTACCAGCTTCTGAGTCTGAATCTTCTCTAAAGGTTTAACTGATTCATCATGTCACTGACTCTGACAGTACACTATGTGTCAAGATGAAAATGCAAAGCTCAAGGACACAGGGGCATCATTATTATACTCTTCTTAAAATTAATATTTAATATGCATTCTAGTCTGGAAGATGGTTTTACATATCTATATCTGTATATTTGTATATATATATATATATATATATATGTATATATATATATGTATGTATATATATATATATATATATATATATATATATATATATATATATCCATCCATCATCTAAACCGCTTATCCTTCCGGGTCGCGGTGGGGTGCTGGAGCCTATCCCAGCTGTCATCGGGCGGAAGGCAGGATACACCCTGGACAGGTCGCCAGCCCATCGCAGGGCAGACAAACAGACATATACATCCACACACGCACTGACACCTAGGGGCAATTTAGCATGTCCAATTGGCCCGACTGCATGTTTTTGGACTGTGGGAGGAAACCGGAGTACCCGGAGGAAACCCACGCAGACACGTGGAGAACATGCAAACTCCACACAGAAACGACCCTGGTCACCCGGCCGGGAATCGAACCCAGGCCCTTCTTGCTGCGCCACCGTGCCGCCCCTATATATATATATATATACATATATATATATATATATATATATATATGTATATATATATATGTATATATATATATATATATATATATATATATATATATATATATATATCCCAAGATGATTCTCAAATTAAGTATCTCAGGATAATTATCTCGAGACACAGAGCCCTGCTGGTAACATCTCACATGAATAATAATAATAAATAACCCCACGACTTAGTAAGGCGTTGGAACGAGATAATTAAGTCATGGCCATGACTAAATAAGATCCTTATGCCTGGCTTCCACATAGTAAGGTGTGGAAATGAAATAATTAAGCCTTGACCACAGCTTAATAAGGCAAGATCTCGTGGCCATAACTTAATTATCTCGTTCCCACACCTTGCTAAGTCGTGGCATTATTTTTATTCATATGAGATGTTACCAGCAGGGCTCTGTATCTCGAGATAATTATCCTGAGATACTTAATTTGAGAAAAGGCAGACAGGCAGTATTTTTTTATCATTATACAAAAATCCCATGTCGTTTTTCTCTCGTGCTGTTTAACTGTCACGTCCAGTCCGGTCAGTATGTCGCTGTGATGAGCCATTTCCTCAGTGCTCTCTGACAGAGATCCAGCAGATGGCGCACTCTCATCATCAGCCCAAGCTATAACACAGAGAGAGGCGTGTGCGCGCCTGTGTGCATGTGTGCGCGCGCGCGTGTGCAGGGTCTCTCCTCCTCGGCTGCCGGAGGAGAGCAGAGCCCGCGGTGCCTGTATCCGTGCTGGAGAGGCTCAGCGCTGCGGACCAGCTCGCCTGCCCGACCGAGGAGCCATGGCGGGCGGCCGCCGGGGTCTGGTGGCCCCCCAGAACACTTTCCTGGAGAACATAGTGCGGAGGTCCAACGGTAAGGCAGCGAGCGGGGGGCTCGGAGCTTTGGGCATCCTCTAGCTGAGGGGAGGGGGGCTGCAGAACTTTTTTTGGACGAGGCTGAAGTTGGCTTCCTATTCGCCAGCTTGTGGTTCTAATTTTCCCATTCCACCTTAAATGGTGCAGCAGTTACATTCTGGCGCCTCAGGCGCCAGAATGTAACTGCTGCACCATTTAAGGTGGAACGGGAGAATTCGAACCACAAGCTGGCGAACTGGAAGCTGACTTAGGTTTCGTCTTTTTTAACAGGGAGACAACAGTTCTGGAGCAGCTTTGCTGAACGAGGGACGCAGTTTTCTGTCACAGTGTAAAGTTAGACCTCACTAATTGTGTTCATTCGTCAGCAGGATTAGCAACCAGGCGTTTTCTTGTATGCTTTTTAATTACACTTGGAGGCTAATTCCTGTAATCTGCTCTAATTTTGTGCTCTCGGTTGGGCACAAAGTAACGCTGCCTCATGCTGGTTATTTTACGTACTGACGAGAATGAAAACGAAAACATGATATTTAATACAGAAATAAAGGTGATAGAAATGTTTCTTGTTAATACCATTTCTAATGAAGAGCTCTCCTCACATTACATAACAAGTGGCATTTCATATCAGAGGTTTAGTGTGTATAAAAACACACAAGACCTTCAATCTATACTGTCAATATGACTTTTAATATTAATTCTTAAACAAATGTGAGCTTATCTACAGCTACAACTCCCTCTTAGTGCTCAGAGTTTGTGCAGTGATTTGATTTACTGCCGTTTTCCATTCTAATGTGACCTAAACAGTGTTATGAGTGGAGTTTAAGAAGGTGTTGGGTTACTGTATGATTAAAAACACATCTTAATATTTTTGTACTGGGTTTACACTGTACGACTTTGGGTGGATTTTTCAGGGTTGCTGTGAATTTTGGCCTGAATTGTCGGTGAGAGATGCGAGTGGAGTTGTCACGATACTGAAAGTTTCAACTTTGATGTGATACTTTTGAATTCGATTCAAATTTGATACCATTTTTGATACCAGGCAGATGAAATCGAGGGATTTTTATTTTATAGATAAACATATCCAAATAATAGGGTTGGCAATATGAGAATATATGTCGATATTGTGATAAATTATGTCACAATACAGTACAGTATGCCTCTGTGGGTCAAAAGAAATGCAAGCAGGAAAGTGCATTTGATATAAATAGTACTGATTCTGCAGGAAATGAATATTGTGCTGTTTCAAAATGTTCAGTATCGATATGTATCAATATATCGATATTTTTGACAACGCTAGATTTGAGCAACTAGTGTTGGAAGATTTGTGAGGCAAGAAAAAGAAAAGGGATTAATATTTCAACCCTGTAAATGGAAATAGTTACACCTCTGGAAATAAGAAGAGGAAATCTGCTCTGGATCTTACTGTAAACCATGCTAACCATCGCCGTTAGCATAGCATCGTTGTTTTCCTGTTGTCTTTAGTGAGGTGTCGTTCCTCTGCTATTGCGAGCTGTGGTCCTCGTAGTAATGGGAGACATGCCACACCTTGTTTTCTGTGCATGTTACTCAAAAGTCTAGCTAACCTAGCTAAATAGATGTTAAAAAAAAACAAAACATATTTGTTGAGCTGTTTTTGGAATAGACGCGTCATACTGAACATGTCTCCTCAGTCTTCGTATCCATATTTTTGATGTGTTCTTGTTTTTTGGAGGTTTGAGTGCTTAAGATCATGTTAGGCCCTGCCTTTTTTCAGTATTCTGAAGTGCAGTCAGGCGCCTACATTGTAAGACATTTGTGCAGTATGAGGTAGCTGTGTCTTGAAGCACTTTACAGTGTAAGGTAGTTACGTCATGAAGCACTTTACAGTGTGAGGTAGTTACGTCATGAAGCACTTTACAGTGTGAGGTAGTTACGTCATGAAGCACTTTACAGTGTGAGGTAGCTATATCTTGAAGCACTTTACAGTGTGAGGTAGCTATGTCTTGAAGCACTTTACAGTGTGAGGTAGCTATGTCGTGAAGCACTTTACAGTGTGAGGTAGTTATGTCATGAAGCACTTTACAGTGTGATGTAGCTATGTCTTGAAGCACTTTACAGTGTGAGGTAGCTATATCTTGAAGCACTTTACAGTGTGAGGTAGCTATGTCTTGAAGCACTTTACAGTGTGAGGTAGTTATGTCATGAAGCACTTTACAGTGTAAGGTAGCTATGTCTTGAAGCACTTTACAGTGTGAGGTAGCTATATCTTGAAGCACTTTACAGTGTGAGGTAGCTATGTCTTGAAGCACTTTACAGTGTGAGGTAGCTATATCTTGAAGCACTTTACAGTGTGAGGTAGCTATGTCTTGAAGCACTTTACAGTGTGAGGTAGTTATGTCATGAAGCACTTTACAGTGTGAGGTAGCTATATCTTGAAGCACTTTACAGTGTAAGGTAGCTATGTCTTGAAGCACTTTACAGTGTGAGGTAGCTATGTCTTGAAGCACTTTACAGTGTGAGGTAGCTATGTCTTGAAGCACTTTACAGTGTGAGGTAGTTATGTCATGAAGCACTTTACAGTTTAAGGTAGCTTTATCTTGAAGCACTTTACAGTGTAAGGTAGCTATATCTTGAAGCACTGTAAATTATGAGCTAGCTATGTCTTGAAGCACTTTACAGTTTGAGGTAGCTTTATCTTGAAGCACTTTACATTGTTAGGTAGCTATATCTTGAAGCACTGTAAATTTTGAGGTAGCTGGGATCTTGAAGCACTGTAAATTTTGAGGTAGCTGGGTCTTAAGGCACTTTACAGTGTGAGGTAGCTGTGTCTTGAAGCACTTTACAGTTTGAGGTAGCTGTGTCTTAAAGCGCTTTACAGTTTGAGGTAGCTGTGTCTTGAAGCGCTTTACAGTTTGAGGTAGCTGTGTCTTAAAGCGCTTTACAGTTTGAGGTAGCTGTGTCTTGAAGCACTTTACAGTTTGAGGTAGCTGTGTCTTAAAGCGCTTTACAGTTTGAGGTAGCTGTGTGTTGAAACACCCATCAGATGACAAAACTCATCTTGTACAGTGTAAACCTGGTATTAAAATCAACTATGTATTTACCATATGTAGCGGATTAGTTGGCGTAGTGTTAACTTCTGGGTCTGTTGTAGGAGCTTTTATTTTAACTTCTGTTTTATACAACAAGACAATGTATGACACACTAAAGAGAAATAATGTTTATAATGAAATGTGAAGTTTTAATATTGGTTTTGAAAGAAAAAATACATTTAATTTTGTTAAATTGGCCAGTTTGTTTTCTTGTTATTGGTCCTTTTTTTTAAACTGTAGCTTTTAACGTTGTGCCAACCGTCCCCATGACATGACATTTAGAAGGTTTGAATGCACTTATTTTAGGAATATCTTTTTTTTTGTTTAGCTTTTGAGATGTTCACCTTTTATTTGCAGAGAGTGAAAACTGTGCCAACCAAACTCTCCCCTACTCCCAAAGAAAAAAAGTTTTTTAATGTAATATTTGTATCTTCTGTATAAATATAGTGATTTTTGGTTATTACATGCATTTTGTATTAGAAAAAAGTCCAAATCAACTTCTTAATGACAAAGAAAACTTGGTAAAGGACATTATGGATGTTACAAAATCTGAAAGTCATGAATTAACAATAGTAAATTAGTATGTAATACTACCAAAGTAGGCTATAGTAGGAGGAGTCTGTCTTAAAAAAATAGAGTGTGATGCTGTAACCTTTTTTTTCTGTTTTTCAGTTTGGACATTATCACATAGACAGACAGGTACAGCCCACATGGAGATCACTCAGACTCTCTCTCTCTCTCTCTCTATCTCTCTCTCTCTCTCTCTCTCTCTCATTCTCTCTCTTTTCCTCTCTCTCTCTTTTCTCTCCCACTCTTTGCCTATCCCACTCTTCCCCACCTGTACATTAACTAACAAGATGTTCTATACCAATTTCTGTTAATTTACAAACGGACGGACTGGACCGTCTCAGAGTCCTGCTCATTAGTGCTCCTCTCTCGTGGACTTTCTTCCAGATCATTAATAATTCACTAAAGCAGAGAGAACAACAACTTGTCCAAAAGTTACCAGTGAACCTCACAAAGGAACCGAGATTAGTTCAGCACTAGTCTTCCTAAGATGGACGGCTAAGGCTGGGAAGCATTGTAAAATAACAAATGTTGGCATGGAACGTTTTCTTTTTCTTTTTTTTTTCTCCATAGTGGTGGTGGTGGTGGTGGTGGTGTCGGTAGTGCTGTGTGTGGTGAGGTAGTTCTAGTTTAGAAGAGGCATGTAGCGTGTGCTTGGAAACCATCCACATCACAAAAACCCTCTTTTCCGCATTCAAACAAATCAATCTCATTGTACTTTAAACACGTATTTAATGCATGTTTTACACTCAAACATCTTTTCCCTCAGGTTTGTTTGACATCATGACGCTTGATGGAAAGTTTGAACAATGATTCTATGGGAGGTTAAATTAAGCAATAGGCGAGATTTGTTTTCAGTGGGTTGCGTAGGCTATGTTTTCTGACAATTAAAGCTCCAGTAAGACTGTTTTAAAGCTAAATTACATGTGAACCAGCTAATCTTCTCTTTCTGTTTGTGAAATGGATCTATTGTAATTAACCCAGTCAGTTTCCAGAGGAACAATAAATGTATCTGTTTTGGCCAGTGTTAAATGAATAGATCAAAAAACACAATTTTTATTGTAAACAGACTCTAAAAATGATCCATAGCTTCAAAAGGGCAATCATAAAATAAAACTAGTACTAATATGTTATTTGTTATAACTTGTAGTTCTACAGCACTGCATTGGGTTGATAAAATCCATAGTGTTCTCATACTACAATACCCAGCATGCATTACTTCAATACATCATTGGGAATCCCTACAGCATTCAGCAGATCCTGACTTCTAGCCATCTAGAGGCTAACAAATACATCTAACACTCTAACCTACACCAAAGATATTGAACAGAGCTCCATCACTCATGACAATGCAGTTCTACTTCTC